TCACCCCCAGGGGGGGATGGCCATGCCGCAATCCCTTCTCCTCCATTCTCCTCTCGGGATCTTGGGCATGCACGCACACGCGCCCGGTATGAGTTTAAGCCACCGGGTCTGGGACTCAAACCGTGGTCAACTATGTGGGAGTCCAGCGACACAACCATTACGCTAACTGCTGGTCCCTCAGTATGACTTTTCATAGTAGAAGAAAATGAAAGAAACTATCAAATCCATAGGATGTGGAATTTTAAATTCCCAAACATACAGAAAAAAGAAAAGGGTTGAAATTTTGTTGGCTGACTGTGGAGAACAATATGGAGGATCCTCAGAAACTGACAAATAGAACTACCATATGATCCAGCAGTTCCACTCCTGTGCATCTACTCAAAGGATAGGAATGTGCTCAGTCAGAGAAAACACTTGCACATCCATGTTTACTGCAGCATTATTTACAATCGCTAAGACATGGAATCAACCCAAATGTCCAAGAGCAGATGAATGGATTGAAAAAGTGTGGCACATATACTTTATAGGATACTACTCAGCCATAAAAAACAATGAGACCCTAGCATTTAATAGAAGGTAGATGAATATAGAAGATTAAATGCTGTGTGAAGCAAGCCAGGCTATGAAAGAGAGGCATTGGATGTCCCCACTTAATATATACCGAATGTCTGCACTTTATAGCAGAAACAGAAAGATTGGAAGGTATAAAAGCAGGAAGAGGATACTAGAAGCGGTGTGAGAGGAGGGTGGGCGATGGGGAAGTGTGCAAGGGAGGAATCAAGGGGGAAAAGAAAGCAAAACATTTAAGGGACACAAAAATGGAAAAGTATCTGTTGATAATGTATATGGTAATATCTTTGGCTGGACTAATATGCAGTATACTCATGCCTGGAAAGTCCATTTTGTATGCTGTAAAGACATATAGTAATTAAATGAAAAAAAACATACAAAATAATAATAAAATTTTAAGAAAAGAAATTTTGTTGGCAGGAGTAAGAGGGACTTTCTTGATATCCTCTGGTCCATTTGAAGGTGCTTGTTTTATGCCCCCAAATTTATAAAGCAGTGTTTTAACTGACTTCAATAACAACTTCTCTGTTCCCAAATTAATATTTTGTTGTTGTTTAATATTCTTGTTGTCATATGAGTCACATAATTATTTCTGGTTTATAAGTCTTTATTTTGAACCATGCCACTTAAAGACATTTTTGTGTCATTACTTTATAAGAGATTTCTTTTTCTGATCATAATATTTATACTTGCTTGTGGAAGAGAAAGAAACTTGTATGTGGGAAAGAATAAAGAAGAGGGTTAATATTGTTCACCTTTGGATATAAAAATGCTATTACTAGGCCAGCCCATCATGGCCTGGTGGTTAAAGAAGTTGAGTCCCACATAGCTGACTGCATGGTTCGAGTCCTAGACCCAGTAGCTTGAAAAACGCACTGAACATGTATGCCTGCATGTCCAAATATCCCAAAAGGAGGGAGAAATGGAGGAGAATGGATTGTGGTGTTACCATTCCACATGGGAGGGATGGATTTCCTTCTTTTTTTCCTTCTCCCTATGTCTCTCTCTGGTGAGTGTGTCCACTAAGGTGTGCTGCTCTTTCTCTTTCTCTCTCTCTCTCTGGTGAGTGCATACACCCTCTGGAAATTTAAAAAAAAAAAAATTCTTCTTATAGGATATGTGCACTCAAGTTCGAGTCCTAGACCCAGTAGCTTGAAAAACGCACTGAACATGTATGCCTGCATGTCCAAATATCCCAAAAGGAGGGAGAAATGGAGGAGAATGGATTGTGGTGTTACCATTCCACATGGGAGGGATGGATTTCCTTCTTTTTTTCCTTCTCCCTATGTCTCTCTCTGGTGAGTGTGTACACCCTCTGGAGATTAAAAAAAAAAAAATTCTTCTATGTCTCTCTCTGGTGAGTGCATACACCCTCTGGAAATTTAAAAAAAAAAAAATTCTTCTTATAGGATATGTGCACTCAAAAGAGAGAGACAGAAAGAGAGGGAAAGTAAGGAATCACCTCCCCTCCAGGAGGGATGGCCATGCCACAATCCCTTCTCCTCCGTTCTCCCCTGGAGATTTTGGGCATGCACGCCTGGTATGTTTTTCGAGTTCCTGGGTCTGGGACTTGAATTGCAGATTCAGCTGCTGTCTCTATCTCTCCACTGAGCGCACACTCCCTAAGGCAAAAACTTTTTTTTAAAGAATTATTTTATTTAGCTTCATTTATTCATTTCTTTCTTTTAATTTGACTAGAGACGGACAGAAAGAGAGAGAGAGAAAAAAAAAAGAGAGAGAGAGAGAGAAGGAAAGTGAGAAAGGAAGCAGCCAGGTTTGGGATTCAAACCTCAGTAGTCCATGTGGGAGTCCAGCACCCTCAACCTCCACACCACCTGCCAGCCCCTGAAAATATTTTTTTAAATAGTATTCTCCACTTTGTATCTTGATCCTTATCCTAGTGCCTTCATCCACTTTATTCTACTTACACCTATTTAGGATCCAAGATTCTGATAATACTGCTTCATGCATGAAAAAAAAATGATTCCATTTTGTGCTTTAAGCAAGCAAACAAACAAATGGCTTGCAGAGAAGCGGCCTATAATCGATGCATTTCTATGTAATAAAAAATACTCCACGTACAACTGGAGTCTAACTTTTAAAATGAGATTTGGACATCAAATTGTCATCTTTGGGGAATAGAATTGTAATCGATTTGAATTTTGCATGCTTCAGTATGATTTCCCTATTTTATACCATTATTATAGCTTTTACAATAGAATATAAACCTCGTGAAGAAAAATTTTAAACTCCCTAGTGTATGTGACTGTGTTGCTATTATGGCATTTCTAAAGAAGTTATTTGAGAGCTGCACGTAGCTGTTCATAAAAGTGGTGGGAGCTATAATAGAAAACAATAAAATTAAAGTAATAAAAAATTTCATGGGAAGCCTGGCTTGTACCTTTATTACACATTTTTGGCTCTAATGTAAGAAGATGACATAATGAAAATGCAGTGGTTCTGTAATTACAGGTATCGCAAAGGATTTGAACTCCAGTCATCTCTTTATTCTGGAATTAACCTTGCAGTTTTGCTGATAGTTGCTGGACAGCAATTTGAAACTTCCATGGAACTAAGGAAGATAGGTAAAGCTCTTTATTGTTGCAGATGTCGATGCTTTGATTATAAGTTTAACATTCATAATTACATTCAAATAGCCAGCATTATATTTCAAAAGGCTTTAAGCTGGTACTTTTTTATAGCACACCCGAGACATCTGCCCAAATAAAATACCCTCTTGTCCCGTATCTAAAGGCTTATGTGATGTGATCGAAACTAAGAATATTTTTCATGACTATGTGAAATTCAAATTCTTAAGGTGTGCGGCTGAATAGTCTGTTGGGAAGAAAAGGGAGCTTGGAGAAAATGAACAATTACTGGGATGTGGGTCAGTTCTTCAACGTCAGCATGTTGGCCAATGATGTCGGGAAGGCTGTCCAAGCAGCAGAGAAGTTATTCAAACTGAAACCTCCAGTCTGGTGAGTTGTATCGGTGTGTTGTCATCACCTGTCTTAATATCTGACCATGTTTGGAAATGTCTCCTGCAGGAAAAAAAAAAGGTGGAAATGCAAAAACAAATAACAATTGCTTTGTTTTTCCTTCTGACTTCTTCATTAAAGCAATGTTAGGCCAACTGCAGTAGTGTAGCAGTAACACATTGCTCCAGATGCTGAAGCAATGTGGGAAGGGCCCAGGTTCACATCCTGGGGCCTCCCTGTACATACCAGACACAGGAGTATGTGCCTGTGATCCTGGCTGTCTGAGGCTGGGAGTGGATTGCGTCTTAAAGACCCTGTTAGGGGTTAGACCCTCTTTCTCTCTCTGTTTTCCTCGTGGAAGAGATAGGTAGTAGGTAGCTAGCAGGAAAACTTAGGGCAGGCATAGAACCTCTGAGGGTTCACTTTTTTTTTTTTTTTTGTAAAGGGAGAGAAAGACAAACATATACACACACAATGTATTCCTACTTGCTCTCTCCCTGAGATTAGAGTCTCAGTCCTATGAATTTCCTTAGATCGTCTAGGTCCTCAAGAGCAAACCACTCTGCTACTAGTACATATTATGTATTTGGGTGGTAGCATATAGTAAAGCTGAAAAAGCATACCAACATGCGGCCAGCTCTAAACTCCCGCATGGCCTGCCACAGTTCAAGTCCTAGACCTGGCTGTTTGCTTTTCACTTTGCCACTCTCTCTCTGTCTCTCTCTCTCTGGTGAGCACATACACATTGTAGCAAATTAAATGATAATACTACTAATGAATAAAATTTTAAAATGAAAAAAGCATACCAAGAAAATGATATTTATCACACATGAAAACTGGAACTGAAAGACCAATAATAGGGTGCAGAAAATAAAATGGTGGCACAGCAACAGCCCTAGGTTAGCCCAATTACACAGCTATTTAAATGTGCAGGAAAGTGGACTTGAAAACGTGGAAGCGTGATCACGGTTTATCATAGAGTAAGAAAAGCCAGTTGCAGGGTATATTTTTCTGTATCAGAGGTTCTTAAACTTTGTCATGTATTAGTATCACCTGTTGAGAGTAGTCACTGGAGAGCTGCAGCCATGGCTCTGCGGTATCCCATGGCCGTGGGCCTCAACAAGGGCTGCAAAGTGACCAAGAACACGAGCAAGCCGAGGCACAGCTGCCGCCGCGGGCGCCTCACCACACACACCAAGTTTGTGCGTGACATGATGCAAGGGGTGTGCGCCTTCGTTCCTCTGAGCAGTGCAGCGTGAAACTGCTCACGGTGTCCAAGGACAAGCGCACCCTCAAGTTCATCAAGAAGCAGGTGGGGACACACATCCGTGCCAAGAGGAAGCGCAAGGAGCTGAGTGACGTCCTGGCCACCATGCAGAAAGCGGCTGCCAAGAATGACTGAGCCCTCCCCGTGCCAATAAAGCTGACTTAACCCCCCCCCCCAGAAAAAATCACCTGTTGGTGAGAATACAAATTACAGGCCAGCATGTGCATGGTGGCTAAGGCAGCTGGATCTTACATGGTTGATTCTGCGGTTCAAATCCAGGACCCGACAGCTTGACAAGTACACAGGGTACATGTGCATGCATGTGTCCCCAAAATCCCTCCTTCCCTCTTTGTCTCTCTGTCCCTCTCTCTCCCTCTTCAGTGTATCCTATTACAAAAACCTAAGAAAATTCAACTGGCTTAAAGACAGCCAAGGTGTGGTCAGAGTCAAGACTTGGGGGTGGGAAGGAAGTAAGTGTGACTAGACGAAGGCAACATGTGAGGTCTTTGTGACTGCATCCATGTTGCATCTTGGTTGTGATATTATGCTATGGTGTAGCAGGATGTTGCCAATGGGCGAAACTAGACCAAGGATATATGGGTCTCACTGTATTCTTTCTTTTATCTTCATAAACAAAGCTAAATCTAAAATTACACCTCAAAATAAAACATTTAACAAAAAAGAAAAAGACAATGAGTTTGAAATTCTGTCTTTTTGTAATTGCTTGGAATTTTCACCTATTGCTCTTTTTATTTAAAAACTATCACATGCTTGCCAGGCCCTGCACTTTGGCTGCTGTGTACCAAAACCGAGGTTTGACCCAATGTTGATAAACAGCTGCGGCATATGATTTCGCTGGGCTGGCTCATTTTGCTTACTCTTTGGGCTCCTTTCAATGAACTGTGTGCCCGCCTAATGATTGGGACTGAAGTACTCATGGTATAATGGGAATTTTGAGTAAATAAAACTTGGAGAAATTTCTTTTAATGGGAGTAGAACTAAATCAAGTTTCTTTAAGAATAGAATTGATTGGTGTTTTTAATTCTGCCAGGTACCTGCGATCATTAGTTCAGAACTTACTATTAATTCGGCGCTTCAAGAAACCCGTTATTGAACATTCACCCAGGCAAGAGCGCCTGAACTTCTGGTTGGATATCATTTTTGAGGCAACAAATGAAGTTACCAATGGACTCAGATTTCCAGTAAGATATGCTAAATTTACTTCTTTAATATAAAAAAAGAAAGTATGACTCGATGTGGTCTAATTATTACAAACTCTCAAAGAAAGCAAGCCATAGAGTAATTTGAAATGCTAGGATAACCATCCATCCTGTCTGGCTCTGTTGGCCATATCCTTTAAAATAGTGGTTTTTACCTGGCACTGATTTTGCTCCCCCCATGGGACATTTGGCAATGTGTGGAGATATTTTTGATTTTCATGACCGTGGAAGAAGGTGTTGCTCCCAGAAGCCAGTAGGGAAGAGACCAGAGATGTTGTTGAACATCACACACTGCACGGGACATCTCTCTATGGTGAGGAAGTAGGTGGCCCCAAACATCAACAGTGCTAAGGTGGAGAAACTCCCCTCTAAACTTTTATAGTACTGAGCCAGCAGGTGGGATGGTGGTTAAGGCACAGGACTCCCACATGGCTGACCACGGTTTGACCCCCTGACCCGGCACCTTGAAAACCATGCCAGGCACCTATGAGTGTGCCCAAAACCCCAGGAAGAGACTGAAGGAGAAGAGGTTGTGGCATGACCACCCCCTTGGGGGTGTGAGTTCTCACTTTCCCTCTCTCTGGTGAGGATATGTGCCCCATGACAAAAACCTAAAAAAATAATAAATAAATAAATAAATAAATAAATAAATAAATAAATAAATAAATAAAAGTGATGAAAAACCTGCGTGTGCATGTCCCATTCCTTTTGGGGGAATGAGGTCATATGAAAATGGCAGTCAGGCATAAACCTCCCACTTTATGAGTTGAGCACAGGGTCTCCACCTTGGCTTGTGTTCAGATGCTTTGAGCCTACCTCCTACCTCCCACCCCATGGATGCGTGTTGTCTTAAATGGTGTTAATTTTCCAAGTGTATGTAAGAGGGAGATTCAGAGAGTGCACACTTTCTTAGTACAGACCAAATGGAGGCAGAGGTGATGTTCCAATCTGTAAACATCTGTTCTTATATAAATTTGCTAAGTGTCAGAAAATTATCATGAGCTATGGGCTTATAATTAAGGAAGTTCTGTTAATCTGATTTTAAAATAGGACTTACTTGAAAGGACTTACTAGAAAGTAGACTTTAAACTTAGTGGAGTTATCCTTTGTTTTTACTGATCTATTTATTTTGTTAATTTTTTTTTTTTTACGAAAACTTCTTTGGATCAGAAAGAGACCATTCTGAATCACAGCAACTATAAAGAAATATTTTCTTATATTGCCTTAACAAATAGGTAATTTTTTATTTTTTTTAATATGAAATGCTAGGATAACCATCCATCCTGTTTGGCTCTGTTGGCCATATCCTTTAAAATAGTGGTTTTTACCTGGCACTGATTTTGCTCCCCCCATGGGACATTTGGCAATGTGTGGAGATATTTTTGATTTTCATGACCGTGGAAGAAGGTGTTGCTCCCAGAAGCCAGTAGGGAAGAGACCAGAGATGTTGTTGAACATCACACACTGCACGGGACATCTCTCTATGGTGAGGAAGTAGGTGGCCCCAAACATCAACAGTGCTAAGGTGGAGAAACTCCCCTCTAAACTTTTATAGTACTGAGCCAGCAGGTGGGATGGTGGTTAAGGCACAGGACTCCCACATGGCTGACCACGGTTTGACCCCCTGACCCGGCACCTTGAAAACCATGCCAGGCACCTATGAGTGTGCCCAAAACCCCAGGAAGAGACTGAAGGAGAAGAGGTTGTGGCATGACCACCCCCTTGGGGGTGTGAGTTCTCACTTTCCCTCTCTCTGGTGAGGATATGTGCCCCATGACAATGACACCAGTGCCACTAATTAATATTTAAAATTTTATTGAGAAAGCAAAATTGCTTTTAGCTTTTTGTTGAGTTTTCATTTTAATATTTTTTTTTTTTTTACCATCTGAAAGAGTCTGAAATATCTTAAGTGTCTTGGAAATTGGACCTCAGATAATTGTTTCATATTTATGCCATCAGATTTTATAAGTATGTAGCTTTCTAGAATTTCATTCAACAACCAATGAAAGACTGAGTTGTTTGAAATGCATATGATACTCATTTTGTTCCTGGGTCAATATATTTTTAAATCTTCTTTTAATTATGAACTATTTTAAACACACAACACCAAAAAGTAGAAAAATAATAATGGGACAGACACTCATTTAATCTCTACTCAGGTTTAACCATCTTCACATGTTGCTTTATTTGTTTTGGAGATTTTTTCCCCCTATTCCCTCTATCTTTCTTCTCTCCTCTCCACTTCTCTTCCCTAACAAAATGACACCTTACAGCTGGAATGTCACCTCACTTTTCATCTTCTTGCATCTTTACGTACTCGGTACCTGGGAACCATCCGGTCTACTTCATTATTTCTCTCAAAAACTAACTTCCCTCATTCTCTGTCACTTCCTCAAGCAGGCCCTTCTTTTTTTGTTTGTTTGTTTGATAGAGATTTTTGCTATAAGGCACATTCACTCACTAGAGACACAGAGAGATAGAAAGTGAGAAATCACCCCCGGGGGGATAACCGCGCTGCAATCCCTTCTCCTCCTTTCTCCTCTTGCATTTTGGGTACGCACCGAGCATGAGTTTCAAGCTAACAGGTCTGTGACATATGCCATAGTTGGCCATGTGGGAGTCCAGCACCTTGACCACTATGCCACCTGCCAGCCCCTGGCAGGCCCTTCTTAGGCCGTCCTGTGTAAAGAAGAGCATGCCCCCTTCACTTTCCTCTTTTTCTGCCTTGTTTTCTTCAGAGTGCTGGATGATATGAGATGGCGTATCCATTTCTGTTTGTTGTCCTTCCTGCCTCTCTATAGTCCTCCTGTGAGCGGGACTTTTGCGCACTCTCACACCCCAGCTCCTAGAGCGGTGCTCAGCACAGAGCTGGTTCTCAATGACTGCTTGTTGAGTATAAATTGTCCTTCTCCGCTGGGCAGGGACCCCTGTGCTTTAGATCCCTGTGTGTGACAGGACTTTCTCGTTTTAGGTTCTGGTGATAGAGCCAACCAAAGTCTACCAGCCTTCTTACGTTTCTATAAACAATGAAGCGGAGGAGAGAATGGTTTCTTTATGGCATGTCTCACCCACAGAAGTGGTAAGGAAAACTAAGAACTCTCTTTTTTTGGTGTTATTTCATTGAAGATCTTATTTGGAAATAAGAGCATCTATATTGTAGTATTTGAAAGAACAGGAACCCACGTTTAATTTCTCGGCTATGGGACTATATAAGAGAATAATCACAAATGAAAGAAAACAAGTAGGTTTTTCCACTTGTGTGTGTGTGTGTGTTATCTGTGTATGTGTGGGCATGTGTGTATGTGTGTGCATGTACTGGGGCATGTTGGGCACATGTGGGTGTGCACGTGCGTGTGTATGTGGGCAAGCATGTATTGGGTTATCAGAAAAGTCATGATGCATTTTTGCATAGAAAAACATAGGAAAAAATATGTCATCACTTTTCCAACAACGCAATAAATATGGAAGCACATGCACACACACTCCCACACATGTGTACACAGACACACACACAACAAATGCAAGTTTTTGTTTTGTTTGAGTTAAACCATAAAGTAGTGAATAGGGAATAGATGGGAATTTCCTTCACATTCCTCAAACCTGATCCTTGTGCCCATTCCTGTCCCCAGTGACTTGGTGGATATTTATCTGTTCTTTAAACTCCCCTGTATATGTATAATGTATGTGAATTATTATATTAGGTCATCAGGAAAGTCACGGAGTATGTTTCTATGCAAAAATGCATCATGACTTTCCTGACAACCCAATATATATGTTGTGTGGGGGGTGGGGGGCATTTTAGATAACGGGTGACCATCCTGCATCTATTTCTTGTTTCACGCCTTATTCTTTAAACTCACCCTTACATTATGGGCAGTTTTTTCACACAGCGCACACTGGTCCACTTGCTACCGCAGGTGTCACATCCCTGTGTTTCCATTGCCTGGTACAGCTGAACCCTACTTTATTTCACCTCTTTCCTTGATGCATAGTTAGCTCCCCCATTTTTCATTCTTACCAGTGATGTGCCAGCTGCCTCCTGGTGGCTCTACCCTCCTGTGCTCATGGAAGGGTTGCAGGAGCACAGATTCCTAGAAATGGACTTGCTGGACTCAAGGGCACCTACATTTAAAACTCCAATAGTTACTGTCAAATTTATGCCATTCCAGGGCCTGCAGGTGATGTGGTGGTTAAGGTGCTGTACTCCCACGTGACCTACCACGGTTTGAGTCCCAGAATTGGTAGCTTGAAAAATCATGTTGAGTGTGCATGCATATGTGCCCAAGATCCTGAGAGGAGAATGGAGGAGAAGGAACTGTGGTGTGACCATCCCCCCGGGGATGATTTCTCACTTTCCCTGTCTCCCTCTCTCTCTCTCTCTCTCCAGCAAGTGCAGCTTCCCTATGGCAAAAAAAATCTTTAAAAAAATAACTACACCATTTCAATTTATTCTTACACCAACAATGCAGGAGAGGGGAGATTTTAATTGCCTGTTAGAGATTACAGAAATGCTCCACAGGGCCCTGTTTTGTTGTAATAGTGATATTTTCATCTCTATTTAAGGTACTTTATTGGGTTTTTTCTTTCATAAAGTTTGCGGTAGTAAAGGAACATGTCACCTTCAATGAGTGCATTAGAGAGATTTATTGGGTTGTCAGAAAAGTCATGATGCATTTTTGCACAGAAAAACAGAAAAAAAATGTCATGACTTTTCCAACGACCCAATATTTGCAGTGTACATGTTTTCATGGAGTGTAGGGATAGTTCTGCCATTAACTTGGCAAAGAAGGCTTCTTTTTCTTCCTGAAAACAAAAATGTGAAAAATTATATTTGAGTCAAGTAAAAATAAGCAATATCTTTGTAAATAAAGTGCAACAATATAGAATAAGCAGGGGTTCACATTCATATTAGAAACTCCTGATCAGAAATGGTCATAATGTCTCAAGTGTAGGCCAATAACCTTGTTCAATATTTAACATCAGGGCAATCTTCTTTTTTTCCTTTTTTTGGAGAGGTTTTTGCTATAGGGCACGTGCGCT